CTCTCTCCAAGTTGCCTTGATCTTAGCCTCCAATCTCATTTTCCCGGGGGGGGGGTATGTACTGCTGTATACACACATACACACACACACACACACACACACACACAAGAAACCTTGCCAAGAAATAAATAAATATATACATAAATACATACACACACACATACACCTTCAAATAAGCCATGATATCTCCACTTTTTAATCTGACAGTGTGGAAACCTAGTTATTTAAAACAATTATTCTACTTCAAACGCTATTATTTACCTCTTGGGAACCAAACATTTAAAAGGGCTCCACAGTTCCATAGAAATTATTGTAAATTAATTTATCTTAGATCCAAAGTGGGGAGCCTAAGGTATAGTTTCTCTCCAGACTTTCTAGTCTTATTGCAGCATATGCGTATACGTGCACACATCCATGTTATGCATTTGCAGATGTATAATCCCAAAATGTTATTACAATTCAGAAGGAATTTTCCTTCAATTAACGTATCCCATCTACTAATATAAGAATTACTCATATAGTTGGGCCACACATGAAATAAGCTTTGCAATCAGTGGAAGGAAGAGGTCTATCATCCTCTCTATGAGAATGTAAATTAGTATCGTTCTACAGGTTTAAAGCAAGTGTTACCTGGTTCTGAGTCAAGGGTAGCCAATCAATCTGCCAGTTGCACCTCAAAAATCTGAAGCATGAAATGGTATCATTCAGGGGTAGACTACAGCATCTATGTCTTATATGCCATGTCTTCTGGGCTCCTATGTAGACAATTTTGCTTGCTTGGGAGTGCAGTCCAGCTCGTATCCTATGAAGGCCTCTTTGTACCAATCCAGAAATCCTATAAACCTCAACTGTCTGCGCACAGCTTAGCTATCCAGGTTTTACACAATAATTTGCATTCAATATATAATACTTAAAATTTCCAGTAATATTATATTGATCTCAGTAGGAAAGATGCTATTACTCTTTCAGTAATTATTTTCAGTGTTCATTTAGCTAACTTATTTTAATTGTGGAACATCTCGAGCCGGGGGATATAATGTAATTTTCTAATTTTTGTGTTGAAACAATAAGATAACCTGTTTAGAAAATGGCTTTCAATTAAATAGGTCAGCTTTCCATTAGTTTGTCTATCATTCTTGTGTGAGTTTTGACCTCTTTAAGGACACAGCTCATCATGCAGATGATAATGAAAAGATAAAACAAATGTTCTTGTGCAATCCTATGCCTCATTGCTCCAGCAGTGGTGCAAGTTATGCGTATAATGAATGCATCCCAACCCCATGCTGCATACAGAACAGACTCTTGGCACGCAAACCCTTTTGTATAAGCCAGTTGCAAGAATAAAAAGGAATGACTTGATATGCCGAAGTGCCTGAAGAAGAATCTCTTGATCGTGACTGTTTTGTACAGCCATTGCACTGTTGTGAAATGTGACATATTAGATGTTTAATTTGGGGTATGGGTTGTTTTGTCACATAGCAATTGTTTCCTAATTATTCCTAATTAATGGCATACAGCCTGATTACTTGAGGGACTACCTGTCTCCCATAGTATCCGCCCGGTCAGTTCGATCTGGCAGGGTTGGCGTACTCCAGGTTCCATCGATTAAACAATGCCATCTATCTGGACCCCAGAAGCATACCATCTCTGTAGCAGCACCTGCCCTCTGGAATGAGGTTCACCCCAAAATTTGAACAGTTCCCACCCTACTGGTATTTCGAAGAGCCCTAAAGACCTGGCTCTTTGCTCAGGATGAGCGATGCTCCTTTCTTCCTTTCTGTTTCCTTCTGGATTTGTTTCCTTTGCCATTGTTCTTTTGTCTTGTGCTTTTTTCTGTTTTTTTTGTCTCATTCTTTGTTTTTAAATGTTTTAACAATTGTAAACTGCCCAGAGTCCCTGGGAGTCGGGCAGCATATAAATTTAATAAATTATTATTATTATTATTATTCCACTAAAGCCTATGTGGTGAATTAAAAAATTGAGAATTATCATTAAATCCACAGACTGGACTGGTTTTACTTTGTTGTCTTTGAAATATTTGTGACAGAAGCCCATTCCTATTAAGGCATAATGCTGATTATTTCCTTTTCATAAGGAGCAACAGGAATTGAAGACCGGTTGCAAGAAGGAGTGCCTGATACCATTGCTGCCTTCAAAGAAGCTGGGATCCAGACATGGGTACTAACTGGAGATAAGCAGGAAACAGCTATCAACATTGCCTATTCTTGCAAACTTCTAGACCAAAGAGACACTGTCTTTACCATTAATACAGAAAGTAAGGTAGGTCTTAGTGGCCAGCATGGAGAATATTCCATGATGGGTAAATAATTTGTCGTGCAGAACTCTTTCAGTACAGGACGGAATTGTGAAAAAGAAGAAAAAAGGACAGAATCCAATGGTGTATTCCCATGGGTGAAAGAACTATTTGCTGTCCCCAGGCAGCTCCCCTCCCATATGTCCTCAAAATCTGCTCCAGCTTTAGAGTAAATTTTGGTGGTGTGGGAAGTGGTGGAGAGAAGTGAGAAGAATTCTCACTGCATGAGCCAATGCCTGCTTAGGTACCATTGGATCCTGTGCATGCCTTTGGAAGCAGCACGGAATCCCCACCTTCAGAACCAAGGGAGATCAGGAAACTTTAAGAAATTGATTTTAATATCATCATGTACCTTAGCCAGTTTGCAAAAAAACTGGTCTCCACACACTGTTGAGGTTTTGCTTGATGCTTAGTCATAAGCTTACCATCTGTTCCTTATTTAAAAAAATATTTCTTATTTACAAATACTAAACTTTAATACTAAATAAGTAATTCTTCTCTGAAATAACAAACAGGTGGTAAACCTACTTGCCAGATAATATTTCAGTTGCCAGTAATGTAATGCTAAAAGGCTATATGATTCATTTGCAGTATGCAATAAAATAGTACAATTAGTCATGTACTGTATATGCAGTAGTATTTATCTGAATGCATCCGCAGTGAACCCATTGCAATTTCTCCTGAATATTCACTAATGATAGCAAATATTGTATAGCATAGTTTCCCAACCTGGTGCCCTCCAAATATCTTTATTTATAATTCCAATCATCCCAGCCCATCATTGCAAATCAGTAACCCAGCATGGTCATATATATGAGTGATGTAAATTGCAGTCCAAAATTCTAGAAATTGCTAGATTAAGAAATGTTAACATGAAGAATCAGTTAGTAAATCAAGACTTAAAACACAAATATAGAAGCTAAGAATTAACAAAGTACAAATTGGCTATACATTATGAATATGTTTAGAATTACCTTACTGCTTAGGTAATACATCACATTTTCCAACTTTGAACTGTTACCATTAATGCTAAATGTTTAATCAAGTAACTTGTTGAAGGACTTCTCTAAGTCAACATTTATGTTCATCAATGTCTGTGGTAGTCCAACAGAATGAAAGATTGTAAGTACTTAAAAGCTTAGCATACACTGTTTTGTAACAGAAGAATTCTTGTTTTCTTGTTTGTAGTGCCATGTAACTTTACAACTTATTCAACTGTTGTTTTTTTTCAAAGGAAACTTGTGAATCACTGCTGGATATCATGTTGGAAGAAGTGCAGAAGGGTCAAGTAATTCCCAGAAAAATGTGGAGTATTTTTGGCTTTAAGCTGCCATTTTCTTTGTCAACCACAGGACTTCCAAATCCAATTATTGGACTGGTAGTTGATGGGAGAGCTCTCAGTACTATTTTCCAAGGGCAACTTGAGCAAAAGTTTCTTCAACTAACAAAATATAGCCACTCAGTTTTGTGCTGCCGATGTACTCCCTTACAGAAAAGCATGGTGGTCAAACTTGTACGGAATCAGTTGAAAATGTTGACCCTTGCAGTAGGTGAGCATCATGTGCCATCAAGTCGGTGTCAGTTCTTAGCGACTACATAGATACATTTTATCCAGAACACTTTGTCCCCAATCTAGTCCATCATTTTATTTTCTATGTGGTTTTCTTGGTAAAATACTGGATTAGTTTACCATGGCCTTCTCCCACACATCATTAAATTTTGCCTTTGCCTTTGCCATTGTCACAAAAGTGATCAATCTTCCTACATTGCTGCTGCCTAGCATAGGTGTCTGGTTGCTTTAGCTAGGCAGCTGGGATGACCTTCCTGCCTTTGATGACCCTGCTGGGATTGTATATTCTTGGCATACACTCCCAGTGTCCTTTGCACATTCTTCCCAGGAACCCATACACACATCCTAGGGCTGAGAGAGAGTGATTGGCCCAAGGAGGTTACCCAGGTAGGTCTAGAACTCACAGGCTCCCAGTTTCTAGCTTCATGCCTTAACCACTATGCCAAACTGGCTCCTCTCTCTCTCTCTCTCTCTCTCTCTCTCTCATCTACTTTCAGTGGGCTGTAAGAGATATTTCAGTGATATCACTGGAATGGGTAGGGTTAATTTTTTTAAAAAAACCCACTATTTTCCTGTAAAATTTCAGCAGTACGATCTGAGGTGGGGAATGGGGACATACAAAAATGAGCTATTCATTCATTAACTTCTGCTACTTAGCTTGAAATGTGAAAACTAGATACATTTATTATAGTAGAGGAATGGAGCAAAACTGTCTTACTGTACCATATTTGGTTTAACGTCCAAATTATTTATGGATTGTGTAGAGCTCCAAAGGGATCCTCCAAACTGGGCGAATAGACATTAAAATGGACAATGTGACTCAAAATTAACAATTGTAGAATGGAAAACATCCCAACTTCACATTCACTTTTATGAAGTCTGAAGTAATGTGACAAATCTGGAATTGGATTTATCGTTTCTCAGCCTTTAGGCTAAGTTCATGTGTAAGAATGGGGTTTTAGTATTGCGTTTGATATGTCTATGAAACATGCCATATCATGAAACATGATGTGTTTCTGCTGAGAAAAAGGCAAAGTTGTTGAGAAAAGTTATAAAAGAGTTGAAAATGAAATTGTTGTTTTCACTAGCATTGATTTATACAGGTAGGTCTCACTTAAGAACCACAATAGGGACCAGAAAATTGGTCATTAGGCAGGGCAGTTGTTAAGTGAGTCACCACATGACCAGACCCAATATTATGACCATTTTTACGATGGTCCTTAAGCAAATCATTGTGGACATTAAGCAAACCATGTGGTTGTTAAGTGAATCCAGCTTCCCCAATGGACGTTTTTTTCCAGAATTTGCTTAAAGACCACGTGATTCACTTAATAACCACATGATTTGCTTAATGACCATCGTAAAAAAGGTCGCAAATTGAGATCATGTGACCACAGGGGTGATGGTTTGTGACAATCGCAAGTGTGAGTACAGGTCGTAAAGCACTTTTTCTGAGGCCATTGTAACTTTGAACTGTCATTAAACGAATGGTTGTTAAGCAAGGACTACCTATAATAAAGTCAGGCATGACTTGGAAAAAAGTGGATGGGAAGAAGTTTACTTCTCTTTCTCATACTACTCAAACTTATGTTCAGGCAATGGTAAGATTCAGGACAAACAAAATGAGGTATCTTTTCATCCAATACCTAATTATACAAAACTGGCCTCTGACATAAACCATATATTTCAGACTGAGAAATATGCTGAACAAATATTTCCATTGCCTTAAATATCATTTGTTCAGCATATTTCTCATTCTGAGAGAAATATATGTTTCTCTCTTTCCTAGGTGATGGTGCAAATGATGTAGGTATGCTTCAGGCAGCTGATGTTGGAATTGGCATTTCTGGACAAGAAGGTATGCAGGTATGCATAATAATTGAAGAATACCCTTTTGCCTTTGGCAACAATTGCTAAGATACATATTCAGAATTTTAGGAGACTATATTCCATATAAAATATGAGCATAAGTATCATCTGCTATCTGTCATAACAAGGCAAGCAATACCCTTGGGAAATCAGAATTAAATTATTTGCATTTATAATGAATCAAAACATTTGTATGCTTACCTTGATTATTCATTTAGGCATATGAACTGCCCCCATACAAATATCCAGAGCTATAATGTTTCTGAACAAAGACATTGTGCAGCTGTAGAAAAAAATAAGGAAGGTTGATTAACAGTAAGAAGCATCATCTGGAAACTCTCCCCCACCCCTCCCACCCATCCTTCCTAGTTAAATGCTGGAAGGGAGTTAATTGTACAATAGAAGCATCACTGGAAGCACTCCTAATAAGAATAGGATGACAACTTATCTTGTTGGCTGACACCTAAACCTTATGAACTGTGGCTGAATCACAACTACACCATAATCCAGTACGTAAAACCATAGATAGGCTGGGATATAAATCCAGCCCCCACCACTAAGTCCATATCCTCTGCACAGGACTATACTAGGTGTGGAATAACAAGCAGTACCCAAGTATGTTTTCCTCAAGAAGTATCCAGTGCTTTGGGTTGTTTCATCCAAAGCTGTTCTTATTATTTTCGTTTGGGATGGGCAGTCTGTGACCTCAGAGCTGCAAGTGGTTTTCCAAGTGTTTTTTGTAGCTCTCTCTTCCTCTCTGACTAGATGCCATTTGCGGAAGAGAAACATGCACAGACAGTAGTGTAAGCCTTAAAATAGACAAGATGGCTTAAAAAACAAAGAATCCCAGACACTCACCCAAAATTTAATGAAAAGGGGAGTGTTCTAGTCCCATCCACATGTGTGATACACTCCCACCCTCTTTCCATCATTATTTTAGAGTGATGTGAAGCCTCCAGCTATCCAAAGTTGCTTAGTCCAGGTCTAACTGGTCATAAGATCACTTTTTTACTGATTAAATGGTCACACTGGGCTTACAAATGGAGAGAATTGCAGTTTCACAATGAAACTGTAGCACACTCATTCATAACTTATCTTCCAATTATGTTAGCTGTATCTTCAGAATTCCCAGTTAGCTTTGGTGATGCTTCTCTGGGAATTCCAGAAGTGATAATTCAACACACCTGAAGGGCAATAGCTTCAGAAAAGCTGCCATTGCTTTTCTGTTTTTTTACAATCAAGGTCCATAACATTGTTTGCTATAGAAAACAGAAAATAGTAGGAAATAATATGGGGGATTTTCTTCAAATTAATTAATTTAATCCCCACTCTTGGCTTTTGTGATTTTGGCTTCTGCTTGCAGTCTCTGATTTATGTTGGATCAAGTAAAACTGAAAACATAAATTATGTCATTTTATATATGTTCTCCATTTCAGGCTGTCATGGCCAGTGATTTTTCTGTATCTCAGTTTAAACACCTCAAGAAGTTGCTTCTAGTTCATGGACACTGGTGCTATTCTCGCTTGGGAAAGATGGTGCTATACTTTTTCTATAAAAATGTGGTAGGTGTTTTAACCACTTATTTCACCCTGTATGCCATCCATTACTGCTGTCTTCTTGTAACAATGGGGACAATTATTGTTTACAGGCTACTGGACCCCTATGCCAGCAGCTTACAAGTCCAAAAATATAATAAGGAAACATTCCATAAAATCATTCTTGAAATATTCAAGGATGAAAAATCTATCAGTTAAATGGATTGATTGATAAATGGCTACAAATTTATTTTCACTTAGTTCCTATTAAATAACTTTGATTGTCTAATTTCCTATTTAAAATATTATCCTGACAATCCTTATCGGAATCCTGGCTCTATTGCATCACGTAAAACGGCTGACTGCAATCATGGAGAATAGAAGTTGGCCTCGGCTTAGATTCTACAGGCTGCCAACCCCTAAATTTGATGGAAACCCGTGCTACCAATAGGTGACAACACCAGTCAGCTTTAGTCACATTATAGGAAATTCACTTGGGTATCTCTCTTCTCAGGTTAGACATTTCCATCATGCAATTAGCATGCACCTTTGGGGATCTAGACCCATTAACACTCCCAAAGGGAAGGGCATCAAAGAAAGCAAGATGGTGGTCACGGCAGCATGATCAAAGCCACAGTTCTTTTCTGGATGCATCAATATTGCATGTACATACAAAGGGATGGGCTTCAATTGCATAGCTACAACTGCCATCTTGCCTTCTTTGACCCCCACTGTGGACACTGGCATCCACAACTACAGTTTCATAAGGGCTGAGGGAAAATCAAATCTCTTTTGGGAAATGTATAAGTTGCATAACCTTAATAAACTTCATTAATTTTTCCCTCTATTACTTCATTTCCAAATGCCCCATCCCATTGTCAAAAGCCAATTTATTTTTATTTTGTCACTAATAACCTTGTGGGGGGTGGTTAATATTAGGCCTGATCCTGGAAAAAGTATGTTTGATTCCCATTACCAAAGCGTGTTTGATTCCCTTACCTACAATGCTATAATTATAGATATTTAACTCACATAATTTGTTAGTGGTAAATGAATTTTTTCTACTTTTCCTATTTCTGGTTCATTTCATTATACCAACTGTTGCTTACAGTTTGTCTTTCTGCCTTTTTACAATCAAGGTCCATAACATTGTTTGCTACAGAAAACAGAAAATAGTAGAAAACAATATGGGGGATTTTCTTCAAATTACTTAATTTTTCTATTTCATTTTTTCATACAAAAAATTAAATAGAAGTGACATTTTATGAATATGTTGCCTTTACAGCATACAAAGTTTATGTTTGATTCTGAGTGACAATCACATAGCTGCAAGAAATACAAAAGCTATTTATATTCATGAAAGCAAGCTATGACTTTGAATCTCAAGTAGATGACTATAATCCATTTACTTACACCCAAGGCTAACTGCATATTTCATGCAAATGCTTGTCACTAAGACCTAATAATGGACTGGATCTAGTCTTACTCATGCTTAAAGTCAACTTACTAAAAACAAGTAGACATACTGTATTTTAGTCATAATTAACTTTAGTTTTGTTAATTTCAGTGAGTCCATTACTACTCTTAGCTTGTTTAAATTTAATGATAGCCAATTTTATTTCTAGATGAAAAATAGCCTTAAAAGAAGTAATTTCGAAGTAGGGAAGTAACAAAGAAAAAACAGTTCTTAATCCTTTTCCCCATCTGCTCTTTCCCTAACCATATCTCATCATGGGGTTCCAAAAGTTAACTCAGGTACATTTAGAAATTGTTTCTTTGTTCATTGAGAAAGGAAAAGCAAACAAAAAGCATGTTAGCATGGATAAATAACAGGTAGAGAAAGGGGTAAATGCCCTTCTCTCCTTGTCCCAATTGCTAGCTTAACTTTCTCATACCCAGCACTTAAAAAAAGAAAGAAAGAAAGAAAGAAAGAAAGAAAGAAAGAAAGAAAGAAAGAAAGAAAGAAAGAAAGAAAGAAAGAGAGTTCAGTTATACATGGTTGTGTGTAATTTTAAACAGTCTCTCAACTTGATCAAAAACCTAGTTGAAATCAAATAGCTTATTTAACTTATTTGGACTGAACTGCCTTAAATCAAAATGTTATGAGTTCTTGATGAGATTCTAGGAGTTCATCACGCCTATGCATCTCAGTACAGGGGCTAGGAATTATGGGACTGATCAAATATCCTTGGATAGCACAGGCTGGAGGAAGTTTCTACAGATATTCAAGGCATTTACCTTTTCATCTTTTCTTACCAGACCTATGTCAACCTTCTCTTCTGGTACCAGTTCTTCTGTGCTTTCTCTGGGGCTTCCATGATAGACTACTGGCAAATGATATTTTTCAACTTGTTTTTCACATCTGTACCACCATTAATTTCTGGAGTTCTGGATAAAGACATTTCTGCAGAAACCCTATTGAATCTTCCAGTACTATACAAAAGTGGACAAAATTCAGAGGTATCGCTTACTTTTTCAAGAATATCCCACAATATAACAGGTTTCTCAGTATAGCAAGAGAAATATCTATTCTAAAGTAGACATTGGTTGGGTTCATATACTGAATTAAGCCATGATTTGTTGAATGTGGTCAATTTTCAGGTCAACCACTCCCTCATCAAACAACTTTATTCCATTGGTTAAAAAGCACCTGTAGAGTTTTCTTGAACAACTTTCTCAGTAATGGGTGAAAAGAAAAAAGAATAACTTAAAGAGGGCAATTTTGGCATAGGGAAATGTTCAGTACTTTCTTATACCATCCTTCATCAATCCAAGCTATTGTGTGAAGTCTGATTTTACACTGAGAGAAGAAATGCAACTCTACTTATTATATTTTTTAAATACATTGATTCTCATTGGATCAAAAATCTCCAAAGCATAAAATAGTCTCAGATACAAACTGATACAATAAGTATAATAAAATCTGTTAATAAGGTAAAATGCTAGTTCAACAATTGTTAGAGTAGTTCATGAGTAAAATAGGAAAATCCAGGAGACAAGTGGGAAAATGCATGTCTTTTAACTGATGGCAAAAAAACCTCCAAACTGAGAACCCATCTAATTTCACAGAGAAGATTATCCCACATTATAAAAGCCACAATGCTTTATGAAGAACATCAGCAAGCTATGGTATGTTCATCAGGACATCCTTTACAGAATGGGAGGACCAGATAAAGATCTGTGGAAGATGATTATTCATATAATCTGGCTCTGTGCTGTCAATCAAAATGAAATCTTGAAAGTAGCTTGGTAACTACATGGCAGATAATGCAGAACCTACAATACTGGAGTTAATGTGCTTGATAAAGTCCCTAGTAACCTAGTTCCTCATTCTAGTCTAATTGTGGTTTCTGAACCACTCTCAAGAGCAGAAACATATTACAAAAGTCCATCTCCACATAAAATACATTACAATACTCCAATGCTGGGACAGCTATGGCTAATCCCTATCCTGGAAAAGTTACAACTATCAGAGTAGCCAAAACTGTAATGTGTTGTGATGGTTAAGATGTTAGAGTAGGACCAAACGAGAACCAGAGAGACCCAGGTTGAAGTCCTCCCTTAGCCATGGAAACTCCTTGGGTAACTTTGGACCAATCTTACTCTCTCAGCCCATCCTACATTACAGGGAGGCTGCTATGGTGATAAAAGGCAGTGAGATCTCCACGGAAGCCACTTGAGCTCTGTGGAAAAGGCAGGGCATCAATCTAACCAATAGATAAATACACTGGGAATATTCTTATCAACAGAGGCTTGTTTGAGCCTCTTATGACACAGGTAAGTCCATCAACAACCCAAGCTCCATATCTTTTTCTTCCAGTTAACCTCCCAGTCCTGTTCTGTTTGAATAAAGATACCAAAAATAAACAGAATTATCAGTAACAATTTAAGTAAAGGTTTTTCAGGATTTCAAGGATCCCACATCTCCTCTGTTTTTCTTTTGAGGGCAGTGACAGATATTGAAGCTGATGCAAATTCTGTCATTTACCACTGATTGGTGGCTCCCCCAATGGCCATCAAGTTATAAGTGATATAGTATCAAGAAACTGTACATCTTTTCTGAAATTCTCTGTTCCTTCTGTGTTCTATTTGCTACAGATTTATAAGCCTCTAACGTTTTGTCTTGCTATCTTGGATGCCTTCTACCAGAGTCTCATTTGCTTCTTCATCCCTTATCTAGTAAGTGTTCAAATCTTAAAATATTAAACTTTCTCTAAACCAGCTTTTCCCAGCCTGTTGCTCTCCAGCCCATATTTGGAGCATATCAGACTTGAGGAGGCTGCTTCATAAAACTTTCATAAAACTCAACAATTGTGACTTGCATTTTGATTAGTCAATATTCTTTTATCTAATTTTTCAGGCATATCAGGATTCTGATATTGATGTTTTCTCTTTTGGAACAATAGTCAACACTGCTGCCCTTCTTACTATTCTTTTTCACCAAGCTTTAGAAATTCAGATGTGGGTATGTATATCATTTCATTAACTATCATTGCTTGCTGGACTGAAAACCATGACCTGGTTGTTAAGGTGACACTGGTGCACTTTTGTGATACTGTATTTGTGTGTCTGGGACTGGGACTGGGTCTGGGTCCCTCCCAACTTGGATTTCAAAAAATTGTTGAGCGATGAAAAAGTACTGAAATGCCAACATTTGCAGATAGTGTAATACACAGATTCACAAATTAAATAATACTATGCAAACATAGTTGTTTAATTTATACTATTTTAATTAACTGTTCATGCTTTTGATTAGAGATATATATATATATATATACACACACACACACACACACACCTTCACACCTTTCCAATATTTCTCTGCATAAAGGCATCATTTCCCTCATTTCTATCAGAAATATTTATGTATTTCAGAAAAATTTTACATAATTAAAAATGTTATTGCTCTTTGCCGTTAGAGAAGACTGCAGAGAATATTTTTTCTGAAAATGGAAAAAAGTGAAATGGGGATTTTTGGATCTGATAATTGAAAAAGGATTGAACAAGGGGCTGAAGGGATTATTGTAACATTAAGGAGGGAGGAGGGATAATGAGTTTGTTTTTAACTGCTGAAAAGAAGGGCGGAAGTTGCTTCTTTAATTATCGTTTTTTCTCCCTTTAATTGTATCATTTTCTGTACTTTTCCTTTTATCTTTTTCTCTCTTTTCTTTATATATTTCTGTATTTGCCTTTTATCTATGTAAAAACTCTTCATAAAATTTATAAAGACAAGACTGCAGAGAATGCTACAAACTGCCAAAGCCAGTTAGCCTCTTGAAAGCTGTGAGCAATGCGGGCGCTAATCATCAGACTTCAGTGGGACATATTTACTATATAAATTAACAAAACAGAATTCAGTAGAAAATAAGCCTTCGTATGGAATAGGGAAAAAGCCACTTTGGTTTACTGGTTAAGGCACCAGGCTAGAAATCGGGTGACAGGGAGTTGTAGTCCTATCTTAGGCACGAAGCCAGCTGGGTGACCTCCTTGAGCCACTCACTCTCTCTCAGCCCTAGGAAGCAGGCAATGGCAAACCACTTCTGAAACCTTGCCAAGAAAACTGCAGGGACCAGTCCAGGCAGTCAACACTGACTCAAAGGCGCACACACACAAAAATGTTACTGCATTGCTGAACAACATGGCTTGGAAACCAGTATTTGCATATAGCCAGCTAAAAAGCATGATCTCTCAAATGCAGCAGAAAAGATGCTCCTCTTTCCCACCAGACCCACAACGTGACCCAGAAAGGCATGACTCAAAAGCCATCAGAGTTAATTCCAAACTTTGATGTTCCTCAATACAGATTCATCACTGCTGCAATTTTACATTCAAATGTCTTTGTTCACATAGAAATTGCACTGCCTTTGGTTTTATAATCTTTTAATTATGTATTGCCGATTTTAGTTTGTTGTAAGCCGCCCAG